TTAAAAAAGAGAAAAATGGTAACTAAATATCTCTTCTGCTGATTCAACAGGCAATCTCATGCTTTTTAGCAATAAACAGCATAAGTATTCATGCATATCTTAATATGCTCCCATGTAATTTAAGCCCATTTTCTCTGTTAAATCTAGAAAGTATTAGGGGAATATCCGGTGGTATCACTGTGCTTTCAGGAATAACCACTAGCACACTGGGAAGGCAATGCTTGCCACAACAAGTGGAATGAGGCCATGCTAGTGTTTCTGGAATGAAATAAATCAGCAGAGCACACAAAAGGTAGTGCCACTGGCTTGTTTCTTGATGTGCCAATGGTCATTCGCATTAGTGCGACCTGGATTAGTGCAACTCTGGATAGAAAAGGGGAGATCCTCTTACGGATCACTAAATGGGTAAAGAACAGAAGACAATGGGTGGGAATAAATGGCAACTTCTCCCAACTGCTCCCACTGGAGAGATGTCACCAGTGGAGTCCTACCGAGTTCTGTATTAGGAGCAATGCTTTTCAACCTACTCTGGCATTAGGAGTAAGTAATGAGGTGGCCAGGTTTGCTGGAAAAAAGCCCAATTTCAGGTATACACTGATGGGATCTGAACTAGGAGTGACTGAGCAAAGAAGGGATCTTGGGGTAGTAGTGGACAACTCAATGAAAATGTTAGCCCAGTGTGCAACTACTGTGAAGCAGGCAAACTCCATGCTAGGCACAATTAAGAAAGGAACTGCCAAAATCTTACTTCCCTTATACAAATCTTTCGTGCAACTACTGAGAGCCAGTGTGGTGTGGTGGTTAAGAGCATGGGACTGGGACTCAGGCGATCCGGGTTCGAGTCCCCTCTCGGCCATGGAGCCAACTGGGTGACTTTGGGCCAGTCACAGACTCTCAGCCCAACCTACCCCACAGGGTTGTTGTTGTGGGGATAAGATGGAGGAGGAGAATGATGTAAGCTGCCTTGAGCCCTTTGTAGGAAAAAGGCAGGATATAAATCAGAACCCCCCCCCCCACATCTGGAATATTGTGTTCAGTTCTGGCCACTGTACCTGAAAAGGGGCAATATTGAGTTGGGAAAAGTACAGAGAAGGGCAACAAAAATGATTGGGGCTGGAGCAGCTTTCCTATGAGGAGCAGCTGCCACAACTGGGAGCAATCCTTCTAGAAAAAAGGCAAGTCAAAGGAGATATGATAGAGGTTTTTAAAATAATGCATGGTGTGGCGAAAGCAGAGAGGGAGGCATTCTCTCCCTCTCCCATAACACTTGAAACTGGAGTCATCCCATGAAGCTGATTGGGGGGAGGTTTAGGACAGATAAAAAGAAGTACTTCTTCACACAGTGTATAGTTAAACTATGGAATTTAACTATCCTGCTGACAAGGGAAGTGGTGACGGCCACCGATCTGGATGGCTTTAAAAGGGGATGGCCAGATGAGGGAGGAGGCTATCCGTGCCTACTAGCCTTGCTGGCTATGTGGTTCCTACTTTCCCAGAGGTGACATGCCTGGATAGACCAGCAGCTGAGGAGCTTGGGCAAGAGGAGGTCTGACACCCATCCTGCTTGAGGGAGCCTGTGGGCAGCTGGATTGTCATCGTGTCTGAGGAGTGCTGAACTACATGGACCTTTGGTTTGATCTAGCATGGCTTTTCTTTCGTTCTACTGATATCGCCAAACGTGTACAGAAATTAAAACATGCCAAAAAAAATTTAGGCAATACATTTGGGGTACTTCTCATTTTATAGAGATGGATATGCTAGACAGTAGCTCAGCTTGCCAGACACAGGAAAGGACACTTCTGGGTGGCACTTTGGGATCACACAGTATAGAAGAAATCCTAATAATCACTTCAAATGTTAAATGCAGTACTTAAAATGTTGGATTAGGGCTGGAAAGAGCTTGGCCATGTCAGCCATGCAGTTCATGGGATGACCTTGGCCAGTCACCATTTTGCTACCCAACAACCTGATTGTGGTGGTAGCAGTGTAGGACCCCATATGTTGCCCTGAGTTCCCTGGAGGAAGGCTAGGACATAAATGTAATAATCTTTTCAATAGAGGAGGGAGCTCCTCCGTATCAGCAATTCATTGGCGAGGTCTACCCAGTCGTACAGCAAAGCAGGGGGGCTTTATGAAATCCTCCGTATCCACTCTGAGAATGTGCCAGGCAGCTTCTGGATTCTTGACATAAATGAGTTTTCATCTTGAAAGCAGGCACATGGATAAATCCATTTCAGGTACAGGCAATTTTAGACATAGGACTGGCTTCCAAGAGCACTTCTGTGATATATCTCACATTTCAAGCTGTTCTCTGATCAGGGCATTTAAAATCCCTGCTTAAGCGTAATTCATTGGAAGGCCCTGGCAAAGTTGCAGCATCTCCAGTTTTAGTGATATGACCCTTCCTTTGCCTGTTAGTTTTAGCATTTAGCTCAGCTATTTATTTATTTAATTTTTTTTATCCCACCCTTTACATTGTCTCAGGGTGATTATGATGCTAGAGAAGAGATATACTGTCCTGCTGATATTTCAGGGAATTAAATTTCAAGGGAGGCCAATCTATTTCATTCATATCTGCCATTCCACTACTGATATAAGGCTGAATGGCAATGCACATAATTGACTGATTTAAGGAGAGAACATGTGGGATGCTTAGGAAGAGAAACCAGGGTGGAATGCATGCAACAAATTGGGCTTGTTACCATTTAAACTGGCAAATGATCAAGATATCCATTGAGCCAAAATTCAGGAGGCTGAAGTTTGTTAGACATTTCTTGGGATCAAAGTCTAATCAGAACTATCACTAGAACATTTAATTCTCAAATAGAAAACATGTCCTTAACTGTCACTGACAGTTACCAATGGCCATTTCAGACCCTTAGTAACCCATGCGACCAATTCTCTTTTCAGAGGCTATGCAATTATATCTCCCCAAAATGTTTTACCCCGTTAGTTATTTTTATTATTTTAGAGAAGATGTGACACTGCTTTTCCTTCATGCCATATATTTTTGCTGGCCCTAACCTCCAAACATATAGTTTTGAAAGTGTTAGCAAGACCGATTAAGCTTCATTGAGACATATAGAATTCACTACTTAGTACAGACAGAGAACTCACAATGTATCAAGAATAAAAAAAAATATATAGGAGGAAACCCTATTTCAGGCAAACTGGGAGCAGAAAGATACATTTGGCACTGGCATTTTCTTCCAAAACAAGTTAGATGCCTCCATCTATTGCTTTCTGCTGCCTCTTCCCACTCTGAGCATCCTTGTCAGCTGCTTCCTAAGCTCTAATCATATTTATTTAATATGATTTATTTATATACTGCTGAATTTATTTTAAAAACATTTGCTAAATACTTTTCTGACCTGTCTCCATCATCCTTCTACCACCCTAGCTATAGTCCAGCTATATTCTCACTCAGTGAATATCTGCTAATGCCCCACTACCCATTTCTCTTGTGAAGAACGAAGAGGGAAAATGGACTTAAAAGACGAGGAAGGGAGTCTGTATGGAGGGTAAAGACCAAAGACAAAACAAAACAGAACAGAAACAAGAGAGAGAGAGAAAGCAAGTGAGAGAGAAACTGTTTTTCTTGAGTTAGAGAAAATAACATTTGGACAATTCTGAAACTGGGGAGAGAGAGAGACAGAGAGACGAGCATTTCAACACAAGACTTCCACTCCATTTACTTTTCTTTCACTTTTGTGTTCATCACAGATGTGTGATTAAAGCACTTCACAATAAACATTTTCTTTTCTCCTATATCACCTCTAGGTGGCATGGTGGTATAGTGGAATAACCAAATATACACGTGAAAAGGCATTAAAAAAAAACCTCTCATAATCGCATGCCACATTTTCCCTGCCCTAAAAAAGCTTGCTGAAAGCAGTCCTCAGGCACAGAAGTGCATCTGAAGGGTCAGAACATTTCTAAAAGATTGTGAACAACCACGAGTAGAGAATGACAATCCCATGAGAACTTCCTCATGCAAAAAGCTCGGAGAAAGAGTTTCTCTTTAACATGAAATGAATACAAACATGATGTGTGAAAGCACATCTTTTCTTAATCCTTTTCTTAATTGCTATGATTATAAATGGGGAATGATGTGCATGTTGCATTGTACCCATAGAAGCTTTCTAACAAAATTATCACCCCACTGTATCTTAATATTATATAAAGAACTGCTAACTGGAGGGTGAGATTGCAGCCTAATCAGTGTGACGGTTCAGAGACATTGGTGGGAAAATGGATATTCAAAGTCTGCTCCTGAGGCATGAACTGTGTTGGTGCAGACTTGTCTACTGGTATTGACAGAAAGTCTATAGTGATGAGCCTGTCATTTAGGCAGCATTTTGGGGCAGAAGCCTGGGGTCCCACTGATCAGAATGAATCAAATGGTCCCCAATCTCAGCAGAACTTGCTTTAAAAAACATTACCACCTTTAAAAGGCCCTTGTAAGACCATTTGAACCAGAATCTAGAATTATCTAAAGACATCACTCCTGTCAGTCGGAAATATCAAGAAGCAGGACTGTCCAGGGACATGCAGAGTTGTGAGGCCAGCTGCTGGATGGGGCTGATGGGTCTTTCTTTTATGAATCAGTGCCCTGAACAGGCACAAACCATTCTTCATGTATACACTTCTCGAACACTGCACAGTTGCAGACATGAATTGGTCGAATACTGAGCAGTAGTAGATGGGAACTAGAAAGCCATCTCCTGCTTTCTCGTCTACTCAATAAACAATGCATGGACACACAGATAGGGCCGGGTCATGCAAGGTGCAACTGGAACTCCCTGGCTTCACTGACAATGTCTCGCCAGCTGACATAAATCTGTCTTTCCATGTTTGTCTGTTACCTTAGTTAGGGACGGTAAATCAAAAGGGCACTGTAAATCTTCCAGAGGCTATACATCAGTAAAGACGGTAATTTCAGAATTCATGTCATCTCCAGGAGGAATGCCTGAATCCACAGATAACATTTCCACTGCTAGTCATACCTGCTGGTTAGTCCTGTCCACCGTGTTGGCAGTGGAGGCATGCTCATGGGTGTTTTGTCGGACACGGGTGGAGTTTTGTTGCTCAATGGTGGAAGCTGTTGGGATGCAGAACTCTCTGAAACACCTTTTGAAGTTCTCATCTAGAAATGCATAAAGGACGGGATTAAGGCAGCTATTTGTGTACCCTAAGGCAATACAGAAGTGCCAGGAGACGGTCTGGAACGTTGTTTCTGGAATATGGACCAAGGCTTTAATGATAACGTAAATATGGATGGGAGTCCAGCAGATGATGAAGACAGCCACGACCACAAGGACCATCCGGGTGATCCTTCGAAGATTCCTGTCCTTCTCCTTGGAGCCGGAGAGCATTCGGACACTCTTCAGGCGCAAAATCATGAGTCCGTAGCACACCGTAATGATTAGGACAGGCATGATGAAGGCAAAGATGAATACACAGATTTTCAGCAGGTTCTCCCAGTACCATGATGGGTCAGAAAATTTAAGTGTGCAATCAATAGAGCCTATAAAAAGAAGAAAGGAGTGATTTGTAGTGAATTGTTGCTTACCCTTTCATATCTCATCTTTCCTGCACCATCACAAACCCAAGTCCAAAACCATACCATAATATGATGGACTCTGTTAAATAACCAGCTAAAACTCAATTTTCCTGCTACTATTTAATTTGCAAAAATCCCTCAATCAGCATAATGTTATTTTGTTCAAAAGATGATTTATGTAGTTGAAGTCTAGCAAATCAGGCCAACATTTCAGGTGTGACCCAACACATAACTATGAGACTAGTTAGGGGTATATCTGGGCAATGCAGACTCCTGGAAGCCCAATACTGTTTTGGAGTCAGTCGGCTACAGTTCCCCTTTCTCTACCTTCAAATATTGGAATATGTGGATGATTTTCATGGAAACCATGTTCTGTGGGAGAATGGGTTAGCTATTTCTTTCTCCCATCACTGCATTCAGGGTTATTTTCCTGTCTGTCTCCCTGGGTACAGGAAGAAAAGAAACAGATGCAAATGAAATGCGATTTGCAAAGGGAAGGGTCAAATGATGGAGTTCATTGTAGAGATGAGGGCGATAGAGAATGAATGACTAGTACAATCTGTGATGGCTGTAAGCAAACTGAAAAGCAACAAAATAGTTGTATTCAGCTAATGGAAATTGTGAAGCTATTCTGTGGTGTTCAGAAAAGGCTGGATTTCCCATCATGGGCGGAGGATGTTTTCATCACATCATGGCAGGTGTCTTCCAAAAAAGCATGTCTCTTCCACAAAAAAGGTAAGAGAAATGTTTTATATTTGTTGAGCAGAACCTTACTTGAAAGTTTCCTATTTAATGCTGCTTGATTTTGAAGACAATTTTGAAGTGGAAGAGGTAACCATAGCCCTGTTAGTTTCAACTGGCTAAGTGCAGCAGGTGGCATAGTTTTCAAGAAGCCAAATCAGACACAGCACAATCTGATTCTGTCCTGGGCAGATTTCGGTTCCCATGAGTCCCATGAGGGCAGATGGAAAGGAGACCAGGCCCTGGCACTTGCAATGCTTGCACAGAAAAGGGCATTTCAGCTGCACCTGCTTAAATGTCCTTTTCCATGCACCTGTTGAAGGTGACCTCTTTTGCATCTGGCTATTGTAGGAGTCAATGGAACTTGGAGAGTAGCAAATTATAGCTTGGAACCAAAGTACCCACGAGACATAATGTGCAACTACATTTTTAATGCAACTTAAAAAAAATATGAAATAATTGCTTTAGGCCAATAGATGGCCCTCCAGATGTTAGACTTCACCTCCCACCAGTCCTTGCCAGCATAGCCAATGAGGGATGATGGAAACATGAGTCCAGCAACATCTGGAGGAGGACATGTTCTCCATCACTGCTTTAGGATGTTCAGGGCATAATCTTATGTATGTGTAGATAGAAAAGAAGCCAAAAAGTCCCAGTATGCCCAGCCTTTACCAGCATATTGTAACAGAGGGAAAGGCTGTTGACTAAGATTTGCACTTGCTCCCTCTCTCTCCCTCTGTGTGTATGTGTGTGTAAGCATTTAAAAAGGAAACATTAGGCAAGATTTGTATAATATGGCTATCTCACACTGATCCACAGTCATTTTATTCAACATTTATGACATTAAACGTCTTAAGTTTAAGATATTCAGATGATATCTTAAATCTTCTTATCTTAATGAAAGAAATTCATAGCTGTCTCCATTCATCCCTGACAGTGCTTTTTTTGCCAGGACAAAAAGGAAGTGTGCAATCAATTACAACTGACTCATCAACGCTGGTGTTCATTGCGTTAGAAAAAGGCCTTTTTACAATACCATCCAGTGTGCCCTCCGTGCTCAATACAGAGAAGCCACCGAACTTGGAGGCCTATGTGCAGCCAGTACATGGTGCAAAGCACGGTGGTGGCGATGCCTTTCGTCCTCTAGCTTGCGACCTGCATTTCATCTAGATGGCTGTTTTCAGTCATTTTGATAAAGCACCACAGAGGGGGAGGGAAGACAGCACACGCTCTCAGCACCAGCTTCTTCCCTTCAACACCCCTGGTGTGCCCCTTTTCTCCTCTCCCCAGAGGAGAAGCAGCCACAGTTGGTGTGCCCCCCCGCCCCAAACAAGTCAGGAGATAAAGTCAGGAGGCCATAGGATTGTACCCTCCCTTTTTCATTCCCTGAATAGTCACTGAACCCACAATGACCTAAAAAATAGACAACTGTATCTTTAATTCACATCACTGTAATTTAAAATTGGTCTCCACCCCACTCCTGAGTGGAATAAGCAAGGCCTTGTCCTTTGGAGAGCTGCATTGTCCTTTGGCAACCTGTCAGGGGGGCATGTCGTGGAGCCGATGGGCCAAAGCCACCCCTGCTTTTTCTCATGCACATGCAATTAATGTAGCCCCCCATCCCCCACACACATTTGTCTGCCTGCCTGCCTGCCATCTAAAATTATTTCTAGTCTGCTCGTGGTGGAACCCTCTCAAGGTGCCTGCCTGTCTATCTTGCAATGTCAGGACAGTCATTTGTTGAGATGCTTTAAATCCAATTCCTGCCCTGAGCCGGCAGCTGGACTAGATGGCCTAAATCAGTGATGGTGAACCTTTTAGAGACCGAGTGCCCAAACTTCAACCCACAACCCACTTATTTACCACAAAGTGCCAACACTGCAATAAAACCTGAAAACTGAGGTTTTAGTTTAGAAAAAACAACTCCCAGCCAGTCCAAGCCAATATATATATATATATATATCCTTGGCAGCGCACCCACTGGCCATGCGAAAGCTTGGACGAGTCGCAGCTAATGAGTCGTGGCTCGTGACATCATCGCCTGGTGCCGCTACTCCTTTCCGAGCATGCGCATGGCCCCTATGTGCACTGTTATCCGATGCTTGGTTGCTGGGGCGATGCTGGGGCGACTTGGCTCGCGTGCCGACAGAGAGGGCTCTGTGTGCCTGCTGTGTGCCATAGGTTCGCCACCACTGGCCTAAATACTCCTTTCCAACCTGGGAAGTCTCTCTCCCTCTCTCCCTCTCTCTCTCTCCCTCTCTCTCTCTCCCTCTCTCTCTCTCCCTCTCTGTGTGTGTGTGTGTGTGTGTGTGTGTGTGTGTGTGTGAAGAGCCAAGCTGGAGAGAGGAAAGAAATTGCGGATAAGAAATCTGTAAACTCTCCTTCCTCACTGAGCTAACCATTCAGGATGGAAGTGAGAGATTTTGGGAAAGAAAGTTAGAAATGGTGGTGGGGTGTCAATTAAAACTGGCCTATTAGCTTGCCAAGAATGTTTCTGCAATGCAGTGTTTTCTTTCTTGAACTGTCCTTTTTCTGTAGCCTCAGATGCAGCCTTTATTAATATTACTATATGAAGTTCACCGAATGGACACAGAAAATTACCTTGCCTTACAGCTGAACATAACGGAAGTGTGGACTGTGTTCTGCTAGGAACCAGAATGGTTTATTTTTATTTTCTGCCTGCAAGAATGTGTTTGAAGAACTAAACTCTGCATAACCCCGGGGGATGTGCCAGATGGCTTTAACTGCTTTCTCAAATGCAATCTTCTAATGATCCAGAGGATGCCTTCTGCCTCCAAGAGTACTAGATAAGAGACTGCAGTGTCCTCACAGCTGGAAGGTCCACTAAGGTTGCATGCATTGCAAAAGTGGGGAAACGCATGAATGGCTTTCCTTCACAGGCAAGGAGAGGAGCTTGCTGAAAAGATCAAGAGGTGAAGCCCTGCAGTTTGCGGAGCTAACCAAAGCTGATACCAAAAAGGAGGGGTTGAATCAACACAGGGAATAGAAGAGGAAATATTGCAAGTTGGGAGAAACAAATTTATAAATGTGCATTTAGTGAAGAAATACATTAAAATACATGTCTGAACTGCATTTTTATGTGCAGCTCTCAAAAATTTGCACATTAATGCAGAAACAGGACAGAAGGACTGAAATAAATTAGTATTTTGGTGTGCCCCTCCCCTCTCTTGCTTGAGAGTAATTTACAAATATCCCCCTTTTAAGTTTCATTGCCCCCTCTAATAATCAGAATATGTAGCTATCAAATGTCTTTTTCTTACTAATATTGGAGTCTAATCATTCTGGAACGCATTTTGAGTCCAACACTTTGAAAAAAAAGGTTATACATTTTTCATTTTCAGATTCTCTAGCAAGCAGTGTTACTCTTATGCTAAACATCCTGTCCTGAACTAATTGGGAAGACCCAATCCTAGCAATTTGTTTCCTCCTCCTTCCCTCTCCCTCTTTGCTGAAGAAATTGAGTAAGCATTCGAAGATAGTGAGTGGTATTCTTACTCACCATTACTTTCCTTCGTGGTTGCCATCACCATAACTGGTATGCCAATTGCAGAAGAAACAATCCAATTGCAGACATTGACAATTTTGGCATTTCTAGGAGTGCGGAAATCCAAAGCTTTGACCGGGTGGCAAACGGCTATGTAGCGATCCACACTCATAGTGCAGAGAGTGAAAATACTTGTGAACATATTGTAGTAATCTATAGATATAACAATCTTACAAATTGCGGTACCAAATGGCCATGTTCCCAGGAGGTAATTCACACTCTGGAATGGCAGTGTACTTGTGGCTAAGGCATCTGCCAGGGCTAGGTTGAAAATGTAGATGTTGGTGGCAGTCTTCATTTTGGTGTATCTGAGGAAGTCAACAAAGCAGAGGAGTAAAAACACAGACCAAGCTCAAATGGAAACACAAGCAGACTAGTGACTAACACGCTGGGAAATGTGTTCAATGACTGACAAGGAGGTGAGAGCATCTCTGCCCCCTACCAATGACACAGGTCTCTAGGAAAGTCTCACTATGTTTCTCCCGCACTGGAGCTTTGCCATGTCTGGTGGCACAGGACAGCTAGGCTTCACATAGGTGAATGAGTAGTGCATAAGAAAGGCCTTCCCTAAAGCCCACAGAAGCTAGAAGTTTCCTGGAGCAGTGGCAAAATGATAAATGTTGAAGTGCAGAGCAGCTCCAGAGTCACGTCCCAAGGTGAATCCAAAGCTGCAGGCGCCTGTGTGCTGTGGGCATTCTCCAAAAGATAACAGACCAGTTCTTGCAGTTTTCATCTCTATCAGATGTAGATAAACCTAATGGGCCTGAGATGCTCATTCAAAGACAAGCTACTCCAGAATAGTTTCATTGCAGCGGGTGCAGCTCAGAACAAGACATGGTTGCTGTGAAAATCGGCTCCTGCATCTACTCTGCAGCTTGCAGCTAAGCTCAGAATCAGTGATAGAGCCTGAGAAGGGTGGCAGATGGCACCGTTGCCTCTGCTAGTAAAAGAATCATGGGACTTTGACCCCGTGAGCCCTGGTTGTATTAAACCACTGCACTGGTCCCTTGCAACGATATAACCTTGAGCCCCAAACATAGTGCATGGCACTCTTGCTGGAGTTTGGAAGTTCCTCTAGAATCAATGGTGTCAATATTTGCCTTTGCCACTGTGGCATCCCTTAGGACCAGTTTGTCCATCCCACTGAATATAATTCAATTATCCTAAATTCAGGTACTTTGTTTTAATTGCCTTCTTTACTGTCAGAAAGCACTAAATAACTGTCTAACACAAAATGCCTTTGAAACAAAATCAAAGTACAAAGGATGAAATGCCCGGAAAATTCTGCTAGAAGAAAATCTTACGTCTTTGCCTTGAATTATTTAAGGTGACTTTCCTTTATCTTCTCTGACAGTTTACTGAACAGCTTATGTCAGTAGATCAGTGGCAGGTGGGCATGACTTCACTGATGCACTTAGATCCATATACATTTACTTCATTTCTTTGTTTTCATGTTTGTGGGTTGTATCCAGATGTCATCGAACTCAGACCCATTGAAATCAATGAAACTTAAGTTGACTAAGAATACCCATTGATTTGGGGGGGGGGGGTCAATGAATGAGCATCTCAGACCCACTGACTACCTGGACCCAATGCTTTGAACAGTCATCAGCCTTGTGCAATGCTTTTACCAACTAGTGGAATGTTGTTGTTGTTGTTATAACCAAAACACTCCAAGTTACTTCAGATTCAAAAGTCATACAGAACTGGGTTGGTTGGGTGGGTGGACAGAACATGGCTGGACTTTATCTCCAAAAGCAACTCCTGCTGGAATGGCCAACAGTCAGGAATGCTTGGAATTGATACTGAAATCTTCTGGAGATATACTTTTTGTCCACTCCTCGTACAAAAAGCCTACCTAACCCACCACTCCCCGACACACACTGTTCAGAATCCTCCCCCTCCAGAACCAGCTGTTTTGAACATTTTTTCTAAGTTTCTTCATTTGCTCTGAAGCTGTTAGCAATTGCTTCTAGAGTGCTAGTGTGAATTGGTAGATAGTAGTTGGGTGCTTTTTTCAAATTTCTGGACAGTATTTCTGTTACACACATACTGGGGTCCACACATCGGCCTGGTCTTGATAGCTAACCATTGTTTAGAGCAGCCAACAAGGCTTGGCTTTTCTTAGTTTTTGCTCCACAGAGACAAAGCAAATGTGCCACTTTCTGTTCACTGCCTGGTGCGGGGAGGATGCTAGAGAAAAGCAGGAGCAGGACAAGTCTGGTGTCAGCATGCAGCATCCTCAGGCAGGCCTGGGGCCTCTGCAGTTCAGGAGGACCAGGCCATGGATGCCTGCTTGCCTCCCATCCCTCACTAGGAGGAGTAAATTGGAGCAGCTCTCACCTGGCTGTCAGCTGCCATTTCCCCCCCCCCCCCCACAAAATGCACCAAACTGACACAGCATCCAGTGCCATCTGGAAAGAGCACACATTTCTTTCTTTCACCATCTGAAATGCGTTAATGCCACTTCTCGACAATAAAGACTTCCAGAATGGCTTCCATAAATCAGTCCCCGATTGTGGCTTACAATCTAAAATGACATGACAACGCACAGAAAGAGGAAAGCAGAAGGAAGAAAGGAGGCAGATAAATTGTTCAGTGGGGCTGGTGGCACGGCCCTGCTTTCCCCTCTGTTCTCCCTCAGCTCAGCCAGCTGGGAGGAAGAGTCCTCCTGAGGGAACTTTGCAGTGCTGGTGGAAAGGCCTCACTTCTCCGTCATCTCTCACCTCCCTCAGCTCAGTCGTCATGGCTGCCGCTGGTGAGATCTGAGGGAAGGAGAGCCTTCATGAAAGAAGCTGCCTCCAGGGAGCACTGTCATTCCTTCATTTTATTTTAACTTTTTATTTCCGCGATCTTCTGAACATCGAGGAAAGCCCCCAGCAAAACTTAAGTGGGGTCTACACTCAACCCTCACTGGGTTCTTCCTCACACTTGAGCCTCTGTGTGTCTGTAGTTGTATTTTACAACCACTTGCCTCCAAGTCAAGTCACTGCTGCTGAACACCAACACAAGTGGCAGCCCAACACTGTTTTGGAAGAAGTGCTCTCTTTCCAGCCATTTCCTGCAGGGTAACCATTCATGTTTCACCAAAAAAATGAAGCAGAAACATCAGCAAAGAAAACAAAACGAGGGCACAGATGTGGCTCAGTCTCGCATATTTAGTGTGGGGTTTCTGATTAAATCTAAAGTTTTAAATATGTTATCTATATTTTATTCTTAGCTGCCTTAAGGTGGGATACAATTTCATAGATACTTGAATATGCCACTTTATAGATACATATCTAGAAAAATAATTACTCTAATTCAAATAGAAATATAATTTATCTCATCATACTAAGGAAGATTGTGACCTGGCGACCCATGTGTCTGCTCACTTTGTGGTCCAGCTCCTAACTATAGATGGACAAATACAAGTCCCTGTCACTCCCTTCTTGTCAGCCTTCATCTTTAATCCAGACAGGGCTGGGATATCCCATTGAAGAAGGATGTTTTTCAGCAGAAGTCTGTCTTCTGTAGGATGCATGGCAACTCTGCTTTCAGAGATGTCTTTTTTAAGCTAGGTGGGCCAACCACTTTTAATCTTGTCTCATAAGTTCTCCATTCATCAATTAATGTAAAAAACAGCAAAGACTCTTGATGATGATGGTATAAGTTTTCAAGGGCACCATTCAGGTGCATGTAGATTGGCAGTTTTATATATGCCTGTTGTTTATGTGGGACAGGGAGAGGGAGAGAGGGTGAGGGAAATGCAAACTGCATTATCAGAGGACATTAAAATGCAGAAAGCACAAAGAGTGATAATTACCTAAACAGTTGCCATCCACAAAATATTTGTGGGGTGGTAACACAGATATTCTTGTCCATGACAATTTATAATCCATCAATCTGATTGTTAGTCTTTAAGGTGCCGCAAGGCTCTGACAAAAGTTTTATTGGAATAAGTGGAATGCAGCCCATAATACTATATATTGTTAGTCAGTCCTGCCAGCAGATGAATGCAGCTATGCGCCTGGAAATTCACCACCAGAGATATTCTTACGTAAAACCATCTCATCTCATGAACTAAATTCATGCTGTTCCTGAGGAAAAGAAGCAGACCGTGTGTCTTTGGAAAAGTCTCTTCTGTCTACTGCTACTGTGAAATCATCCGTTCTCATTTGCCGCACTATGCAGCCAACTCTGTATCTATGGCAAGACTGACTAATAATACACACTATATGGGGATACCTTCCATTACTTCCAATAATTATTTTTGACATTTAAACATTCTGCCCCTTTCATCTTCTCTCCATTACCTCTAACATTCTTAGGCTAACTCATGTTTCCTTTTGCCCTACTTTTCCAATGGAATTGTCTTACTTTTTTCTTTAACGAATAGGGACTATTTCTGTTTAAGATGGATGATTTCTGGTTTACAAGGGCAATGTTTATATTGCTACTTTATTAACCAAGTAAGACTTGGAAAAGATGAAGAACCCAGGAGCTGTATTCTAGATGGAATGTGTAATAGCTACAGAGACACTTGTCATTTTGTTTCATGGTTTTTATTACAAATTTATGGTAGAAACGAAATAATAATAAAAAGCAATATGGTACATTTTATTTGTATCTCTTTATTGTAATCCTAGCAGGACAACAAGAGGCACGGGGCAAAAGATCTATTGTTTGCCTTCCAATAGAAACTCATAAAAGCTTTAGTGCAATAGTCCTTCTATTGCATTTTATTTGGCCTCCCTGCAGATGATCATTAAGGATGCTCATTAGAAAAAGAAAGAAATTAAGTGAAGTGATTGTTCAAGGACAAAAGCAATAATCCTCAAGCAACCATGTTGAGGTTCCTAACTGTGAGACTATCAGCCTTTCAGCTTAGGCCAGGAGCTGATAACATTTTTCATCCATGAGAACATTAGGAATCTTGAGAAACCTTACCAGGTGCATTGAGACATTTGTGCAATAGGTGGGCATGGCCAATCACAAAAAACAAATAACCTTTTGAAGGCATTTATGGAAAATAAATGTGAGCCATCCCCGTCCCGAGATGCCAAGGCATGTGGTGACAGCATACAAAAGTTTTAAATAAATAAATAAAATGCAGATGACAGCAGCTAGAGGTTCCCAGTTGGCTTGCCACTTAGAAGGATACTCATTTAAAAAAAAGAAAAGGAAAAAAGTATATACATATCCTATAAAAATAAAAATGGGGAGGAATTGTGTATTCAAAGGGTAGCAAGAAATGTGGCCAGCAGCCCATGGGTCTCCGGGGTGCCACACTGCCTGCCCTGGCTTGGGCCCCAGATGGGGTCAGACA